CTCTGCTCCGGCCAGCAGGGGTCATCCCGTCGGTGGCGGGGGCCCGGCGGCCCTCGGGCGGCGACCGGCGCTGCTGGCGGCTGTTGGGCGGGGAGCTGCGCGGGGAGCAGGGGCTGAGAGGCGCGCCGGGTCTCCCCTCCCCGGGGCCCTGCAGCGGGCCGGGGCCGGGGCGGGGGCCGGGGCCGAGCCGGCCGGGGCCGTGGACCGACCTCCCAGAGCCCTCTCCGCCGGGCCAGGCCACGGAGCGCTCCAGGCGCCCGCGTCGGCCACCAGCGGCCGCCGCGCCTTTGTCTCGGGGCCTCCCTTTGAGCGGCGACCGCGAGCACGGCGCCGGGCCGCAGCGGTGCGGGGCGTTCAGGGCGGCGGGCGCGGGCCGCACGCTTCTCCACGGAAAACCCGCAGCTCTGTCTCGCCGGAGGCAGACGCCGGAAGGCGGCCGCGCGGGCCTGAGGCTCCGCAGACGCGCGGCTGCGGGACCCGGCGCCTGCAGCCCACCGCGCGCTGAATTACACCGGACCCTCCGGCGCCTCCCTGTGCCCGCCGCGCAGAGAGGGTTGGGGGCTCCGGGGTGCGTTTCCCGCGCGGGCCCGGGGCCTAAAAGCCGCTCCTATTATCCTGGTAATGGCGGGGAGGATGGGCTGGGGCTCCGGCCTGTCCGGAACCCAAGGTCCCGGGGGTTGCTTTGTTCGTAGATGGGGCTGGCGGTCCCTGCTCTGCTCTGGGTCTGAGCCATCGATCGCGCGCCGGGTTTCCGGCTGCATTAGCATCCACAGGACCCGGGCGGCCGGGCTCATCTCCCGCCCGCTCGATAGCGGCTTTAAATACCGGAGCTGTGTCTATGCAGGTCAGAGTGGAGTGGAACTGGGTGGATAACCGGGGCCAGGGATGGTATAAACTTACAAATACACGACAGCAGAAATATTTTCTACCTGAAGTATCCAGATAATTCTCTCCATTTCTTGCTCCTCAAGACCCAGTTAGAGACGCGGGATTCTTTGTCTTAAAGTCCATGGAGTAAATTGTAGTTTGAGGGTTTAAACCAGACAAATAGTTGCAAAATAGATGCAATCCTTGCCCAGATGCAGAGTTCAGCCTTACCCTGAGTATTTGGGTTGAGGCTCCAACCATGACATTCTCTTTGGCCCAGAGACCCAAGGATAAGTTTTTTAACCATTAGGAGGAGGTTATAGTGTCTTTTCTACTCTGACAGTCTCCCCAATTATTGAGTTTTGGGACCTATGTAGACACCACCCAACAAGGTACCTCCTCTCTCAGATCCTCAGTGTCTCTGGGAATAAATCAAGGGAATAAATTAAAGGCCAGTTATTCCTGACCTCCTTAAATTCCCTCCCTTCTTTTTTAGCCAGAAATACCTTCACTGTTAATTCTTCCTGTATAGATGTGTCCTAAGAAGATCATAGTCTCTGGCCTGGGTTCACTGGGATTCAACTCCTGCCCCCCCCCCCCTTAATTCGGACACAGACACAGCCAGCCACCCAGTCCCTCTCCCAGCTCATGGCTACCAGAAGCTATCCTGTCCCCAGCTTTGCCTGTACTCTGTGGAGGCCTTTGTATGAGTGACCCCCCAAAGCTTGGGATCTTCCTTCCTGCCCAAATCCCTCAGCTGCACAAGACAAGCTGTGTGTTAGGAGCAAAAGGAGAATGAGATTCAATTTAAATTTGTTAGTTTTTCTAGGAGTAAGGAAAGAAAGGGAGAGAGAGAGAGAGAGAAAGATTTCAAGGCAGGAGGTGTGGCTTGGACGCTAGGCTTGGTGGGGGCCCCTGCTATTTCAAAGCAGTCCCAGGAGGGTGGAGGGGGACTCTGGAGGAGACTCCCTGATTGGAGCCAGGCTGTGAGAAAGGGAAACTCAGGGACCAGAGGCACAAGGATGGAGGCAGAGGGAGGATGTCCCACCCAGAAGGAAGGGCTGAAGTGGAAGTGCAGGGGGCTCATGGGCTCTACCGGAACCCAGACTCTGGCTTCCACCTGGGCCTCTCTCTGGCAAGGCTCAGAGAGGGTTGTTGGCTGAGAGAGATGAAGCCTATTTCGCCAGCTCCAAGGGGTCTTTAGTCCCCTACCTAGTCATTTTGCAGGGCACAAAATGTGCTCTCAGAGTGAAGCCATGGGGTTAGACCCTGGGGTTAAAGTGTGGTTCCACCAGCCCCTACCCCATATCCCAGGGCACTCTTGCTATCCGTGCTCCAACCTACTTGAACCCCTACTGTGGTTTCACTTCTTGGAGATCCTGCAGCTCAGACTTCTTCTTTCTGGCCCTGAAGGTGGCTTCAGCCTCCTCTGGGCTGTCTACATTATTTTTATGACCCCATGACTCCTCAGATATCCCTCTCCCCCCCCAATCTTCTATCCCCCCAGTTTTCTCTCTGCTAGTAATTGCTTGGGACTAGAGCCGGCAGCTCATCAACAGATCGTGGTTGCTCGTATATTTTTGTTGCCCCTGCACCGTTCTTCCTTTATCATTATACATTTATTATTTTTATTATTCATCTGAGCTGGAGACAATCAAGTGGGGGAGCTGCTAGGAATGGGGATCCCATTCTTTCTGGGCAGTGGAGACCATGTGTGGGGAGTCAGTTTAAAATTCTTTCTCAAAAAAATCACATCATCGTTCAGTCATTTTTTAAATTGTTATTATTAATATGATGAAGCAACTCTGTACAAGGACTATATAAAGGGAAAACGTGCTAAAGACAGACGGCTGAATAGGAGGGCACACTACAGAGAGCTGGGAAGGGCATCTACCCACAGAGACTACACCAGGTACTAGCAACGGGCACAAGAGAACAGGACGCAGATTGACAGAGAAGCTCACGAAAGTCAAGTTTAAAGCGACAGGAAAAGAATATTGCATATCTTTGTACCCCCACCCCTTTTGGAGTGTTCTGGTCTCTTTTCTCTACTAGGCTGTGGGAGCCAGGCTGGAGTGGTGAAGCTTGAATCCAGCACCCCAGAGCCCACAAGGTCACAGGAGGGGCTGCATGAAGGGGTACATGAGTGACCAGGCAAAGGGGAGAGCGCCTGGTACCCAGGGCCAGCCCAGAAGGGATTGTGCCCACAGCTGGAATGGTGCTGATTTCTGCGAACTTGTATGTAGGCGAAACAAGTTTCTATCAGCGGGGAAGTGTGTCAGGTGCCCAGTGGGGGATGAGGGCAAGTGATTGTACGGCCACTCTGCAGGGCTGTATTTGGGGACATGAGGCTGACCGCTTACAAGTACAGTCAGGAATGTGGCATGGGCCCAATGGGGGTGCTGGGCTCCGCTGTGCCTCTGTTTGCCCACGCCTCTGCACAATCCTGTACAGGGACTTGAAGCTGTGTGCTGGTGGGAGAGTGGGAGGCTCTGTGGATTGCCATTCGAGGGTGGGTTAGGGGCGACTCTTCCCAGGCAGGAAGAACACCAAGCTAGCAGGCCAGTTCACACTGTGCGTGCTGGGCTTAACTCCCATCAGTCCCCTCTTCTCACCTTCTTACTCCTGGCAAGGGTGGGTCAGCAGACGGGGAGGTTGAGGGACTCTCACCAAGAGGGATAAAAACGGAGTGCAGGAAAGTGCGGTGGGGCTTCTTCACTGCCTCTCTCTCCTAAGCCAGCCTAGATCTATTGGGCTGGGGCTGGGGCCTGAAGGGCGCTATGAATAAAAGGCCCTGGGCTGAAGAAGCCACTCTGGCTTCCAAGCAGTTCTGGGGATGTGCCCCTGCTTCTGCTCTGGTCCTTGTACTCGGCGGCTCGCCAGCCAGGGGGAGGCGGAGGCAGCGGATCCTGAGACAAAGGGCCACTTTGGGGGGCGGGTGAGTGAGGATGGGTAAAAGAGAGAAAGGAGTTGTGTGGGGGGCAGCAGCGCCCCCCTCCTTCATTGTCACCAGCCTGGGAAACCCGGGCTGAGCAGGGGCCTCCGCGGCCGGTAGCCCCTTTAGGGGCAGATTCTCCTCCTGCCTCGTAAATTATGCCGGTCCAGCCTGTGGCCGGCCGTGACCGTGAACGCCAGCGGGGAAGGGAGAATCAGTGGCGGTAGCCGCGGCTGCCAGAAACTCTCCCGGTCAATCAATGCTGGGCTTCACGGCCTCTTTCACAGCCTCTTGGGCTTCCTGGAGGGCCAGGTGGGGGTCCCTGGGGTGGCTACTAAACCTGAAGCTGCATCCGCTCAGCTCGCAATCCCGCGCTTGCGGCTTCCGGTCTGCAGCCGCCTAGGCGGCGGTAAGAGTGGATGGCAACACACCTGTGAGCGAATGGGCGGGCAGGGCCTTCGAGAAAGGGGACCAGGAGACTTTTCTGGCAGGCTGTCCTAGAGGGGACATAGGGCTGATGATCGCCCTGTCCGCAGCCAGGTCTGCCAAACGCCTGTACCTCCGTCTGTTCATTCCAGGCCTAGAGGACCAGACCCCAGTGGACTTGAGCATTACTGATCACTGTGTTCTCCCAAACTGCACTTCCTCTTAGGTTCCCACACTTCCTCCTGCCCTCCCAGAGCTACCCTAACCCCTTCCAATCTTTCCACGGACCCTCCACTCTTGCTCCCTCCTCTCCTAACCCCAAATACTGGGAGTTTGGGGAGCCTTGGTTCCATTGTCCCCACTTTTGCCTACAGCAGGCTGATTGACTTAAGATCATGGAAGGAAAGTGGTGGTGGGGGGGAGCACCTGGTTACCTTTCCTCCAGATCCTCAGCCAGAGGCCAAAAGCCCCAGTCCCACTGCAAACCAGCCCCTCCCCAGCACCTCAGCCTTCCCTGTCCCTATCCCCTGCCTGCAGCACCTCCCTCCCTGGCTGGGTTCTTCCCTTCTCTCTGGGACCTGGCAGAGCCTGCTGGGGGGGGGGGGCGGCGGGTGTGGGAGGGAACCACAAACAAAACAGACAAGAGGATGTCCAGGGAGCACCTGCCAGAGATGCCTGGTGTTCTAAGCGGGGAATGCGTCCCAGGCAGCGCCCCCTCTTGCTCTCTGCCAGAGACAGGCTCAGTCTGGGGCCAGTGCCCGAGTCTTCTCCCCTAAAAGAAGGAGAGAGCTTGCTCCCTCAACAGAAGTCTTTTCTTTTTCATTCTCCGGTTCTGAAACCAGATCTTGACCTGCTGGTCACTAAGATTCAAGCGGTCTGAGAGTTCCCTCCGGCGCTGCCGCGTGATGAACTCGTTCACCAGAAACTCCCCCTCCAGCTCCGCCAGCTGCAACTTCGAATAGGGCTTGCGCTTCTTCCGGGAGCGGCTGTGGATCGGGTACCAGGGCGCGCCTGGGTGGAGACGAACCGGCAGTGTTGGCCAGAGGACCAAGAGGTGACAAGCCCAGTGCCCTTGGTCCTTCCCCAGCCCTTTTCACCTTGGCCTACTGCCCAATCCCAGGCCCTTGCCCTCCTGTCTCATCTCCTCTCTTCTACACAGACCCTCATCCCCACCAACTCCCCCAGCTTCATCATTCTCTTTTTCCCCTTTCACTCCTCCTTGCCTCCTCAACCCTACCTCCCACTGCACTATCTCTGACCCTTCTGTGTTCCGATCCCCTCATTTCTCCCCAAACCTCTTCTTCTCCCGGCTATCCTGGCCCCTTCCCTTCACATCCTCCGGGATGGGGTCCCTGATCAGCTAAAACAGACAGGAGCGAGTGGCCAGAGTAAACCGGGTCCAGTGGCGTTTCTTAAGAGGAAAAATGTAGGTAGGAGCCTGTGCGAAGGCGGAGGGTGAGGCCGTAGAGAGCGGGGACCAAGCTCTGGGTCCCCACCGCCCACCCCCAGGCCTGGGGAAATGTCTGTCAGAATCCCCTTCTCCGGAGCTCCCTGCCCCCTCCAGCCGCAGGTCGGCTAAAAGGGGACTCTCTGCAGTTCTTTTATGGGGATATTTACATGTTTATAGGCGCCCCCCCCCCCCCCGTACTTCTTTTTAAAAGAAGCGCTTCCTCACCACACATTCGGTCACCGCAGGCGGCCCTAGCTCAGTCCTACCCCGCCCACCCGGGTGAGCTGTCGGGTCCTGCGCACGCCGCACGAGCGGGCCGGGGTCCTTACCGCTGGCCGAGAGCCCGCCGCCGGGGTTTAAGGGCGATACCAAGCTGCCCGGGTCGCCCGCGCCGGCGCCCTTGTTGCCCTCGTTGAGCAGGGACGAACTGGAGTCGGATTCCAGTGACTGGCACGAGGGCGGGTCGTGCGGGGGCCCCGCGCCCCCGTCGCCGCCGCCGCCGCCCGCCGCGTAGTCGTACTTGAAACCGAGCGCGGGCGGCCCCGACGGCTCCAGCGGCAGCAGCGCTGCCCCCGGCCCGACTCCCGGGCCCGGCTCGCGCCCGCGCTCCTCCCGCTTCAGGCCCGCGCCGCCCTCGGCGCACGGCTCGCGGTAGTAACCCTTGCTGTCCTCCACTCGCGCCAGCTCGCACGTGCGGCCGAAGGGCGGGTTGAGCGACACCGGGCTGCCGAGATAGGGCTGCGGGTAGCCATTGCAGGGCTCCGCCGATGGCCAGGGCAGCGAGCACACGTTGTCGCGGCGCGGGTAGGACAGCGAAGGCAGCCCCGGCAGCTGCGCCCCCGACGCACGGAAGTTGGGGAAGTAGAACGTGTCTCCCGTGTGGATGTTCACCAGCGGCCCCACAAACCCGGGATTCAGGAGATTATGCTCGCCCATTTCCGCGGGGCCGGACCGGCGGCTTCTACTTTATTGCTATCTGACATTAAACATAGTTAAACCTGCGCCGGCCACCCATTGGCCATCCAGCTCACGTGGGCGCCGCCGCCAGGGGGATGGGTGGGGACAGCGAATCCCCCCACCCCCCATCCCGCACCAACTCCAACTTCCCCCTTCCCCAGTCGGGGTGGTGGGGGGACAAAACGCGGGGGCAGGTTTATTCGCTGGATTCTGGTTTTTAAAAATATCATATAAAACCTAATGCAGAGAGTGAGGCAATCGCCCGACACGGGGCAAGAAGGAAAAAGCCACACCAAAAATACCCACACATACGCATTTCTGCACCATGCACCCCCCCAGATGTATTATCTTCTCGCCAACAGCTGGCCAAGCACAGCCTGTCCTTCTTTAATTAGCTCCTTTATTAACTAAAACCGTTGGAATTTACAATATCTCCCCAATAAATTACTATTAGATATTGTGTCATATAAAGTTTACTGGCTGTTTAAGGAGACGGATGAGCCCTTTGGCTTGGGGTTTATTTACAGTAGAGGCGAAGTGGGGGTAAGGACAGGTTTCCCTGCCACTGTCTTTCCCAGCCCTGCCGCTGCTGTGCTCCTCTTCCTCAGCTCTTTCTCCTCAGGAATTTTGGGAGACACTTGGGGTCCTCTCCTCTAGGAAGGACTATGGGAGAATTGTTAGTGTTGGGCATCCACCCCCCCTCCCCCGGAGCTGGGATCCACCCCAGCCTCACACTTCCACTCATTGTTAGAGGAGAGATGCAGAAAGGAGGCAGAAGAAGCCGAAAAAAGGAGGTGCCCAGTTCTATGTGGACCTGACTACCTGCTCTTGAAAATCTGGGGGCCTGAACTGCTCTTGCCTGTGACTTCTGTGGGTCAGATGGGCTTCTGGGGGTCTTCCAGAGTCTTGGCAGCAAGAGGCTCTGGGACCCCAGCAGGGCTTGGCTGGCCTGAGAGCCTCGTGACTCCGCTGCAGAAGACCCCCCCACACCCAAGAACCAGCCCAGCCTGCTGCTGGGACCATCAGAGAGCAGTGCCAATGCCAGTAGATGTGCCGGGGGTGAGGGAGAGGACTCCGGAGAATCACCTTGTTGGGGTTTAAAATTATATTTATGGTGCTAACCTCAGCAGCTCCTTCCGTAGAAGGCTGAGAACCTAACGCTGGCCATTGATGAGATTAATCGACATCTGGAAACCACAATCCCATCTCAACCAAGTCCACAGAACACAGATAAATGGATTAAAGTGAAAACCAAAACAAAGCCCTCAAAACTGGGTGTATTCTATTGGTGTCTAGTAGACAAAATACTCGGATTTCTATTTGATTGTCTCAGGCTCCTGTGCAATGCACGGCTTTGAGTAATATAAGGTAAAATAGATAGTTCAGCAAACATCTAAATGCGGAAACCACCAGGCGATCTAGAGAAATTTGGAGAAACCGAGAGTCTCCGCGAGAATATGGCAGAAAGAAACCCATGTAGGTGAAAGTTAAGTATCTGAGAATGAGCCGAAGCTACAAAAGCAGACCGAAGCCGAAGATTCTCATCTCCCTTTTTGTCCCTCTCCTCTGCAGGACGCGGCAGAGAGAAACGCAGATTCTTGGAATTCCACAGCTCGCCGGGCGATTTCATATCCCAAACCAGAACTGCTCCCTCGGACAGAAATGTGTCCGCACGAGCGAGCGTCGCCCTGCCTGGCGCAGCTCAGGGCTCGCAGCGCGGCGCCTGCCCCTCGCCCGCTTCCCCTTCCTCGCCCCAGCTGCCGGGACGCCCGGCCAGGGCCCTCCCGCCCCCAGGAGCCCGCCCCGCGCCCGGCACCCGCCGGGCCCACTTGCCGGAACCGAGGCCGAGGCGTGAGATGCTAGCCCCGCGCAGTCACCTCCAGTCAGAACGGCGCGAGCAGCGGGCAGGAGACCGCCTGGATTGGCCTTTTTGTGCTTAATTGATTAAGGGGCTGCGCGGCTGCAGAAAGGAGCATCCCTGAGCTGCAGATTCCACGTCACAGCATCTCCAGCATCCTATGTGTGCCCCCCTTTTCGAGATGCATTAATGAGCGCCACTGAAAATTTAAAATTTTTTAAAAAATTTATTTGGGGGTCATTTTGGTCCTAAAGATAAACAGGGTGTGACTTGAATACTGTTGCTCTTTTCAATCAGACACTGCGCGGGCAGCAAGGTCTCCAGGCCTCCAGGCCTCGGTGCTCGGCGGCTATTGTTGGTATGAGGGATGCCGAGCTGAGCTGCGCAGAGTCATCCCTAGTCTTCGTGGGGCAGAGGCTTCTTCCCGTCCTCTTTTACCCTTCCAGATGACTCCAGTCTCCCAGAAAGGGGACCCCAGGAGGAAGGTCCCAGCCTCTCCCTGTCCCTCTCTAGCCCGAAAACCTGCGGCCCAGAGCCCTACACGCTGCCCTCCGGCCAGGCCGCCGAGCACACGGAGCGGCGGCCACAGGGCGGCAGATGCAACGCGGGGGGAACTGAGAACGAAGTGAGGGCTTCCTTCCTCCGGGCACGCAGTTTCTCCCCCTCCGATTTGGCCCCACCCGAAAAGGGCATTTTCCCCAGGTTTCCACTCTGTGGACAATGGCACACGCACGAACCCCTCTTCGTTGCGTGCGGCTGACCCTGATTTCCCCTCAGGGAGCGCTGCCGGGAACCATCAGCTACGTTCTCATCCCCAGTGTCCTGCTCTTCGAGGCCCATTGTGAGCCTAGGGATTTTCAGGACCCCGGAGAGGACCCAGGCAATCTAAGTGCACCCCCGCGGATCTGCCCACCTTTAAGGCACACCTTACCACTCTCGCCGCTCAGCCCCTTCCTTAACCCGGGCTCCCGCAAACGCGCCCCAGAGCGCCGCGCCCAGCCTGGGTCCCCGGGGCCGGCGGGAGGCTCGGGTGCGAAGCTTCAAATTTAAATCCAGCCACGGCGGGAGCCGCCTGCGAAGAACCAGCTAGGGCTACGGGGAGGGGACGGGGGAGGGGGGACTCGCAACCCAAAGCGCTGGGCGGCCGCGGCTAGCCGAGTTTTATCCACCCGCACTTCGCAGCCCATCCGCAGAACTGTAATTGGCCAGACCCAGGCTCTGGAACTGCTGAGGGCTCTGTGCGTCCACTCTCCCGCACATTCATCAAATCCCACGGTTGGAAGAGGCGGCCTGCCTGCTGGCCCCTGAGCCGCCGGCTCCTGCTGCAGCTGGCCTGGCTCAACCATGCCGCGCTCATTAACTCAGGGGTTAATTAAAACTGAAGGCTAGGATGCGGCCCAAGACTTTCCTTGAAGACCCGAGGCAGCCCTCGCTCCCGCGCACCCACCAGCTGGCTGCCCCGCCGCCTCTCCCGCGCCTTCTGTCGGTGCCTCCATCCCTCCCGCAAGTTCGCGGGCTCTGCGCGGGGCCTCGAGTCCCCGCCGCGCCGAGCCCGGCGGCAGGAGTTAATTATAACAGCCGTGCCCGCTCCGGTGGCAGGGGCAAGGCGGCTGCGGGGGGCTCGGGCCACCGCGGACGGGCTGCGAGCCGCGGGAAGCAGTTCCCCCGCGGACCCGAGGTCAGAATTGTTCCGCGCGGTGCTGCCTTCTCCACGGTCAGTCGCGAGGCCTCAGCGGCCCAGTTCAAGGTCACTGCCTAGTTTGCAGAAAGCGGTTCTGCCGCGTATGCAAATGAGGCAGGGCCTGGGCAGCGGATGGGATGTGAGTAGGAACTGAGCGGGCGTGGAGAGGGGAGATAAAGGGCGGCAGATGAGGAAGGTCTGGGTCCCCGCCCGACCGTTCAGACCTCTCCATTTCGTTCTTTTGAGGCAGCTCAGGTTTGGTACAGCCTCTTTGTTGGGTTCAGACAAGGCTGAGGGGTGGAGGTAGGGGGGCTCCGTCTCCTTTTTCTTTCCTTCACTAACTCCTCCAGGGGTTGGAGTCCACCTGGCTCCCAGCCCCCCCTCCGCGTGTCCAGGATTTAAGAGGAAGGGTGGGAGACCCCTTCTCCAGGTGCTGCTTTCTAGGCATCTGCAGCCTGGAGTGGGGGGGGTGCGTTAGAGGAACCTGGGGTGAGGGGCCCAGTCAGGCTTTCAGGCTCACACCAGCGGCCTGGGGTCAGCAGCGTCCTTACCTCCTCCAACCCTTCTACGGCATCCCTGGGCCCCCTCCCTCCACAAGACCCCAGCCTGATTGCCACTCCGAAAATGGGAAGGGGTGGAGGGGGGGTCCCAGGCGGGAACATCCGGGAGACCATCTCTCCACCTTTCACCTGAGCATCCCTAAATGAGCCCTCTTCCCCATTTTCTCTGTCCTTTCAGCGCACTAATAGTTAAAGTTTCCCGGCTCTGACATTTTCCCCCTCCGCCAGCAGAGGATCTCCTCCGCCTAGTGAATTACTGAGTGTCAGGAAAGGTGTGGGGACCGAGTAAAACAACAACAACTACAACAACAAACCCCACTCTCATCAAACGCCACACCCACAGCCGCCTGCCCTGGATCCGGGAGCCCGGGGCCTGGTCTCCGAGACTTCGAAGCTCGGTATGGGGTGAGGACTACCCGAGTGCCCTCTGCCCCGCAGCCAGCGCCTCGCTGTGACCATGGCCTGTGGCCAGGCCTAGCACTGGGGAGAGGCTGAGATCTGTTTGGGGTCTACTCGGCTCAGCCTCCACAGCTTCCCAAATCCAAGCCCCCAGTCCCGGGGCGGGGAGGGGGCGCGGGTGGACTGAGGTGGGGGCCATCGGCCTGGCGGGTGGGGGTGGGAGGATGTGCTGCTAACCTCGAGGCTGGGCTGGAAGAGCGGGGGTCTACTTACCTTTGGAGACAGAAGAGGTTCAGAAGGGTGCGGGGCGGGGTTTCTCAGCCTCTAGAAACCTTGTGGGTGCCCCTTCCCCAGGGCCGCCGCAGGCCCAGCCTTGGTATCCGAGGAGGGCGGGGCGGAGGAGGAGGAGGAAGCGGCCAGCGGTAGGCGCGCGGGAGCCGAGTTGCAGAACATCTCTGGAGAGGCCGCCTTTTATGGGCGTTATTAGCGCCCCTGTCTAGACTGGAGACGACACCTCCTCTGTGTGTAAACAGAGGCGGCGGGCTCTGGCGGGAAGGGGGATGGCGCGTCAAGGGGGCGAGCGGCCCTC